GTCGGCTCCGTAATTAGACTTCAGAATCGGGAGCCTAAGCGAAAGGCAGGCTGGGTGGAAACACTAATTAGAGGGCCGAAGGGTATGCGCAGGTGCAGAACTTTTCAGCGCCTCTTAGAAGCAGGCTGAAGCCTAGTTATGAAAAGCTGCCAGTCAGAAGGACGCTGCTATCTTGGGACATCAGACTTAGAGAAATGCCGCAGCTCCAGGATAGCAATAAACAATGGGCTGTCAAGCCCTAAGGAATAGAAAACTGGCTGGTCCCTGACGATGAGTGTTTAGGTTTCTCTCTCCTTAGGATAACTTCGTTAGTGGATATTTCCATATACGCATAGATCTTAAGAAAGAAAACACAGGGAGTTATCTTAATTTTTTTTTAAAGTTCATACTTGTGCATGAGCGAGTTTATGTTTTTGTGGGAGTGTGCCCTTGCATGTGTGCAGGCCAGAGGATGATGTCAGATGTCCCCCTCTGAAACAGTCTCACACAGCTAGCCTGCAAGCCTTAGAGATCCTCCTGTCCCTGTCCCCCACCTCCTGAGGTTCTGGGGATCTTCCTGTCCCTGTCCCCCACCTCCTGAGGTTCTGGGGATCCTCCTTTCTCTGTCCCCCACCTCCTGAGGTCCTCAGGGATCCTCCTTTCTCTGTCCCCCACCTCCTGAGGTCCTCAGGGATCCTCCTGTCTCTGTTCCCCACCTCCTGAGGTTCTGGGGATCCTCCTGTCTCTGTCCCCCACCTCCTGAGGTCCTCAGGGATCCTCCTGTCCCTGTCCCCCACCTCCTGAGGTTCTGGGGATCCTCCTGTCCCTGTCCCCCACCTCCTGAGGTTCTGGGGATCCTCCTGTTCCCCCACCTCCCATGCATGTGCAGCAAACATTCTTACCTTCTCTGCAACATCTCCTTGCCCGCCCCCTTTGTTTTAGGAAAAGTGTCTTCTGGCCTGGTGAAGAGTTCTGTAAACCCGGGAGTCAGGGGGATAAAAACCAAGCTCTCCCATTGTTAATGGAATCTTGGATTTGTTTAGCAGCTTGGTTTAGAGCTCTTACCTTCCCGGTTGCCATTTCTAGAGATGCCACTGGAGCAAGTCCATGCAGTATCTGTAAGAGGAAGGCATGTGAATTGCATCATGTGGTCCACACATTTAAAAGCAGGTTCCCTAAATGTGGAAAGTGTGATGGGTGACACATGATCTCATTTGATGTAGTAGCAGCAATATAATCTGAAGGTTTCTCACACATAGGGCTTTGGATGTGTCCTTCAGACTTAAGTGACTGTATGTCTCCCATAGATGGGGCATCTTGACATTGAGCTCCAGGGCTCAAACCCCATGAGTACAGAGATGCTTTGCCTTTCTTTGACTGTATTCATATTTCCTTCCCAAGACTTCATTGCAAGCACATCCTACTTTAACTGAACAATATTACAAATCAAGAAAGAAGGAAATAATGTTACTAGGGCAGAGCTCACTGAAATAAATAACAAAAGAGGGGCTGGAAAAATGGCCCAGTGGGTAAGAAGGCTTGCTGTCCTTGCAGACAACTGGAGTTTGGTTCCCAGCATCGATGTTGGGTGACCCTCAACCACCTGTGACTCCAGCTCCTGTGATTCCAGTACCACCCCAGGGCCTCTGTGGGTACCTGCACACATGTGTTCATACACATACACAGGTAAAAACAGGTATAGCAACAGTAGAAAAGATGACCACGTCGTCTCCCTTCCTTCTCGACGGTCATAGGTCCTTCTCTTTATTCTAAGAATTCCCAGTGATAGCAGGCATTTTGGAGAAGGAGGGGCTTCCCCCCTTTCATACGCACTGAATTTCCATAGTATTGTGGCAGTATATAAATTCAGGAGACAAAGACTTGGTAAGCGTTGGAATCCGGTCACTATGGGAACATCAAGCTCTCAGCAGTGTTTGCCCATCTCAGTGAATGTTCCCGGCAGCTGCTTACACCTCATTCTGAAACTCAACGCACAGTAAATACTGTGCACACCTCAGTATTTACCGTGCTTCAGTGTTACCCAAGGGAAACGTTGTGACCGTTTCATAACCGCCGTGTAGATGTTGTTACTAAGTTAAAGCAGCTGCTGCCTAAATTTTAGACAAGTGACGTTTCAGCTGTAGCCACAGGTGTTGAGGTGCGGAGAGTGAGCCAGTGGCTGCTCTTGCAGAGGACACAGGTTCCATTCCCAGGTCCCATATGGCAGCTCAGAACTGTCTGGAAGTCCAGTTCCAAAGGATCTGATGACCTCTTCTGGACTACACAAGGCACACATGTGGTACTCAGATAGACATGCAGGCAAAACACCTATGTACATAGATATTAAGATAAAATACCCCCCCCCAATCTAAGAACAAATTAAAAAAAGTACTTTTCCAGTTTTTTTTGGGAGGTTCTAATCCTACAAAAAAGAAAGGCACCCTTACTATAAAAACATAAGCCATTAATTGGAGATGTTAATAGTTGGTACTTGCAGTTCCAGTGTCTCAAACACTTCGTAGGTCTTTTCGTATCTGTTCCTTACAGAAACCTTTGCAGTTGGTGCAGCCATTATTCCTCCTCTCAGATTAAGGGTTCAAAGCCAATTAAAGTGTCTAATACCAAAATTACCACATAAAATTTTTATTTTTATTTGTATGTGTTGGTGTGTGTATACCCATGTGTGTGCAGGTGCCTGGGGACACCAGAAGAAGGCATTGTTGAAAAAGGATCATTGAGCTGGAATTACAGGCGGTTGTAAGCCATCTGGTGTGAGTACTGGGAACAAATCTCTGGTCTTCTGCAAGAGCAACAGTAGCTCTTAACCACTGAGCCATCTCCCCAGCCCCAAAAGTTTAAAGATCTAATTGGCTTTATTTGTGATTCTAGAACCAACCACAACCTCGTTCTATAAAGTAAAAGTATTCTGATGAACAGAGGAGGAAAAGACCAAAGAAAGCAGAAACAGAAAACAAAGACCACAGCATCTGTGGAGGATCAGAGTGGAAGGCTGTCCTCCTGATGCTGAGTGAGGTTGAGTTTGGTTTCAAGGCACTTAGCACAAATCACTGCCTTCTGGCATCTGCTAAACTCTAACATAGGATAGTCTGGTGTGTGAAGTCCTTCTGTATATGTGTTGCTTTTATTGGTTAATAAAGAAGCTGCTTTCGGCCAGTGGCTTAACAGAATATAGCCAAGCTGGCAGAGAGAGAGAGAGAGAGAGAGAGAGAGAGAGAGAGAGAGAGAGAGAAGGCAGAGTCAGGAGACGGCATGTAGCCGCCAGAGGGGAACCTTGCTGGTAGGCCATGATCCTCATGGTAAAATACAAAATAATGGAAATAGGTTAATTCTAGATGTAAGAGCTAGCTAGCAATATGCTTAACCTATAGTCAAACAGTATTGCAAATAATATAGTTTCTGAGTAATTATTTCGGGTCTGAGCAGCCAGGAATGAACAGGCAGCCTCCTACAAGAATAGTCCAACACAGCGCCCTCCAGTGTTTAGCAGAGAGCCGGGACCCCACTGGGCCTCCCAGGATGCCTTTCCATGCTGTGACTCTGTAGCTCAGATTTTCTAGCTTATTTGCTCTGTGGCAGAGTGCAAAAGTTGGGGTGAAGTCAAGAGTGGAGAAGCTAAGGGTGGGACACTGGTTCCGGGGAAAGGGGCTGAGACTGCTAGACAACACTTAGAAAGCAGAAGACTACAAGTTAAAGAAAGCATTAGAAGAGAACCCTCTTTGCATCTCTGCATTTTTCCCTTACAGGATACACTAAGTGTTACAGTGAAAGAACAATCAGGTTAAACTAAAATGAAAAAGTTCTTTCAGCGCAAGTGTTGAGTCTCCAAGAAGGCCCAAAGTGTCCAGCATAAAAAATGCCAGTGCAGGGTGTGGTGGTGCAGAGGCAGGTGGATCCCAGGGAGTTCAAGGCCAGCCAGGTCCACGTAGTGCGCTCCAGATCTACCAGTGCTACGTAGTGAGACCCTGACTCAAAAATAAAAATAATAACAAAAACAGAAATTTAATAAAGTGCTTCTTTATATGTGCACTGGTTTGAAAGATGATGACCCCAAAGGAGTGGTACTGTTAGGAGGTGTGGCCTTGTTGGCCTTGTTGAAGAAGTGTGTCACTGTGGAGAGGGCTTTGCAGTCTCCTATGCTCAAGATACTGCCCAGTGTCTCAGACTACTTCCGGTTTCCTGTGAGTCAAGGTGTAAGAAGTCTCAGCTCCTTCTGCAGCACCATGTCTGCCTGCATGCCACCTTGCTTGCTGCCGTGACGATAATGGACTAAACTTCAGAACTGTAAATGAGCCACCCCAGTTAAAAATTTTCCTTTATAAGAGTTGCTGTGATCATGGTGTCTCTTCACAGCAATAGTATGACATTCGTGGGATTGTATGTATGTATGTATGCATGTATGTATGTATGTATGTATGTATGCATTAAAGTGAAAGAGCACACTAAGAGATAGCCACACCGTTTCCATTAGTCAGTAGCAGTATCAAGCATATTGCTTACCATTTCCATTGCTTTGACAAAATACTTGACAGGAATGATGGAAGGAAGGAAGGATTTGTTATGCCTCATGGTTTTAGAAGTTTCGGCCCACTATGGAGGGAAAGGCATGGCAAAGTGGTTCAGTCTTTGGCAGTAGCAGTGTGTTTTGGGGCCTGTTCACATGGTGGTAAACCAGGGAACAGAGAAGCAGGCCAGAGCCAAGGCCAGGTATGGCGATCAGAGGCCCACCTCTGTGACCTACTTCTGCCAACCAGGCCACGTGGCTGAAAGGCTCGATAGCCCTCAAAATGATGCCACAGCAGGGGAGCAGGCACTCTACATGACAATTCAGATTCAGACCATAGCAGCAAATGCGGTCTGGTCCCTCCCCTCTCATGATAGCGTTGCATTGACATAACACAGTTGCTTTCAGAGTCACAGACTGCTGAAACTGGCGGCTGGATTCTCTTGGTCCCTCACTGTTAAATTCTAAGTATCATGTTTCATACTCGTTTTGCTCACAGGTCCCACCAGGAGAGCAGCACGCCATTCAAGGACTCAACGCCCTGTCCTTCAGACCTCGACCAGCTGTCTCTTCCTGGCCACGGTGTCCCTCGGCCTTTGCCTACTCCCTCTAGGAGCTGCCAGCCTACGGCAGCTACAGGCCAGGCTGCTGGCTGGCCGCCTTTTGCGTCAGGCACAGAAGGGCAGGAGCTTTCAAGTCACAAAGACTCCCCAAGTGAAAGCCTTGTCAGGCTTGATAGGAGCAGGAATGAGCTGCGCTTAGGGAATTCTCTCCCAGGTCCTCCTTCACAGGGCAGCTCCAGTCTAGAGAAGGAGGAGGCGGAGCTTCATCTGTACATTATTTCTGAAACCTCATCCATATTTCGGCACTTAAAGAGCTCGTGGAACAACTACATTATAGTAAGTGCCCTCACAAGCTAGCCCCAGTGTGTTTGCTTTTCTGGGGGTGGCGGGGGGTGGGGGGCGGCAAGCAGGCTTTGCTGTTCTCTCTCTGTTTGGGGAATTTAGCCTTGGAATTTAAGATCATTGTGATAGGTAAGAATATGCCAAACTAGTAAGGGGAGATTTTATTCAAGTGTTTGCAGTAAGGAGAAATGCTTGTTAATGAATGGGATGGAGCGCTAACTCTGTGGTTTAGAGCACTGTTGTTCCTGCAGAGGGCCTGGGGTTGATTCCCAGCACCCACATCGTGGCTCATAACCATCGGTAGCTCCTCTTCCAGGGGATCTGATGCCTTTTTAATCTGACCTCCTTGGGAACCAGGCATGTATGTGGCACACATATACATTCAGGCAAAACAGTTATGAGAGAGAGAGAGAGAGAGAGAGAGAGAGAGAGAGAGAGAGAGAGAG